CTCTTCAGCCTGCTTTCAGGAATCGTGGGAATGGGTGGGTGGTGGTTCGGGTGAGAAAGATGAGACGGACGAAATGAAGACAGAAGAGAGTGAAAGATTATCTGTGGAATATTACTGCCTCAGCATTCGCCTATGTAATCCAAGGAAACCACAGAAAAACTTGGACCAAGACAGACAGACCCGGAATCGAACCAGCGTCCTCCCGAATGCTAAGCAATGGTCTAGACCTCTAGGCCATGCCGCTCGGTGTAAATCAATAGGGATGTTAAGAGTATTTATAGTAGGAAAATGTTAGTAGAAAGAGCTAGAATATTCAAGATAGACAAAGACTGACAATAAGGGTTGAAGGCACGAATTTATAGAATTTGAGGTAAGGTTATCAAAGGAAAAACCAGCTATTAGTAAGATGAGCATGCAGGAACGGTTGAAGTTAGATTTCTAGATAAAGGAGATTAGGGACAACAGAATAGAGATAGAAAGGAAACAAAGGCATGCAAAATATAAAAAGTTGTAATCTACATTGAAGAAATATTAAACATTGTAAAAGAAATAAATTTTGCCACACCTAGAACAATTATTAAAACAAAAACATAAATATTAAAGACTTAACACGTAAGACGCAGACCGAGATCGATACTATATTAGGAAGACCACCACCAAGACCACAAGTATTTGAGTAAGAGTAAGACTAGGAGAGAATAAACAAGATCATTACCATCACCAAGACTGGAACAGTCTTAGTCTTCGTCTTACTTTGCTCGTCACTAGTTTCGGAAGTGTCCTTGAAAAAGAACGCTGTGACGTACAGACAGATAGATGGATGAACAGACTGAATCTGTTTTTTTTTTTAACAAGGCATTGATTTTAAATCTCGGTAGCTGAATTTTAGCGTAGCTATTGTACCTATTTCTAATTTTATTTATACCTAGTGTCCTTTGCAGGTTGTTAAAACTGGATACTCTGTATTAGCCGTTATCAGACAATAGTTATTCTGCACTTCTATTAATTAGCACAAATTGCACTCTTGCGTCATGCAATCTTATCTATTCAATCAATCAAGAAAAATTTATTGTAAGAACAAGCAAGCAAAAAATTAATCAAATGCACTGTCAATGTTGTTTTGAGCAATATAATGATTTATTAGCTGTACCTATCTTGTTTTTACAGTTTGTCATGTTAAATGTTGAGCTTTTTGTAGACATTTGGATTACCATTATAAATTATCTGACATATTATGAGTTTATAATAATATACAAACAGATCCGTTATATCAAAGGGATAATTATTGTTATTGTCATACGTAATACGTAAGAAGCTTTTTAAGTTTTCATGTAAGCGAAAGGGTTTCATAATATTGTAGTTCTGAATTATTTATTTCATTTGAAATCTTACTCATATTATTACCAGTATTGTAGGGAAAATAAGCAAATAATAAAGCACTAATATAATAAAATAAATCTTATATCTAAATATCTTCTTCGGTTCATATGAAACTGCGATTTAGCAGAGTACAGACACAATACTAAGATTTAATCTTGCTAAAATGGAAGAAGTTAAAGTTACGAAGATGTTTTTATATCATGTTCTACTGGTATACAAGTTAGGTTTTGTTGACATTCCCGGTAAAAGAAATGTCAAATACTTCATCATGAAGTTCATCTTTTTGTACTACTTGATCGGACACACGATATTAACTTTTATGGATATTTTTCAACCAAATCTAAAATTAGACGACTTTGCTCATAGACTTACATTAGCCACCCAATTCGGTTTAACAGCCATTATGGTGGTAGCCTGGCATTGGAATAAAAAGGACTTAATCCAGATCATGGAAGATGTCGATAAAAACATACCTAAAGTACATAGACAAGAAGATGAAGAAGAACTGAAAAAGATAGTGAACGATGAAAATAATTTCAAGAAGTGGGCTGTTTATTCGCTTGTTGGAATATTTACTTGTACCATCGTCGTTAACACTTTTGGATGGCTCATCAAATGTTTGACTACAGATAAAATATTTGACATTGAAATTGACCCAAATAATAATAACATGACGATTAGAAGAATCAGTGAAAAGTTACCTTATCCAATTTATATTCCTTTCGATTTTAGATCATCCAGATTTATTTACGTTACCGTTGGATTCATTTTTATGTTCCCAACAACGCATTACATTTGTCTAGTGGCTGGTAGGTACAATACTATGTTGCAGGTAATACAGAGACCCTGCCCGGGTTCGATTTCCGGCAAGGGCGTAACAACAGCAATAATTGTTTCTTAAGAATTTGAAGTTATCGTTAGTGGTAAAAATTAATTCACTTTAATGTATTGAAAACCCTATAAAAATTCTTCTAAAAATGCCCCATTGTTAATAATATTTGATTTATTTGCACTTTATGAGAATTTTTTGAAAAACATTGAAGTATTTAGAAAATTTAGAAATTAATTAATAAGCACATAGTTGGGTAATAAACAACTAGATAGGTTTATCCACTTGAAAGTACTTAAAGCCTTTAAGTAGGAGTTGAGTGTTTTAAAAATAGTTTTTATAGATAATGTGTACCAAGTTCGTTTGTAGTTATTTTAATTTCAAGGATCAAATGGAGTTTTTATAAGTCTGACGTGTTTTGCATGCGCCCATTTAAAAATTCTTCAGTATTTACTAAAAACAATTTCTAAGAGATGCGATAAAACCCAATTAAAATCGAGCGAAATTGGATTGAATAGAAATAGAGAAATGGAAAAGGAACTTAAAGCTTGTGCTATTTATTTGACTTCAATAATAAGGTAAATTTTGATAAAAGGTTGTACTACTGTTAGGCATATTTTTATAATACCGAATGCCCATGTTTTCTTTCAGATTTTGTAATTTCGTTGAAAGCATTTATAATAAATTAATATTTTTGGAAACCACAAAATCAATCGCTTTTGTTGCGTTTTGTATAATGTTGGCCGCGAATCAGGCAAGTGGATTAATTTAAATAAGAAACTGTTACTTGCTGTATTAGTTTATTCAATCTATCAAAAATTAGAATTTAAAACATTTCGAGCAGTTCACTTTTAAATATGTTTCACCAAGCGAATCGTGATTACAATTACTACCTATAAATATGATTTTTATTTAGTATATTTTTAGAATGAAGGTGGTTTCAAGTTTGTATATTTCATATTTTATCTGTGGAGCTACTTGTCGATAATGTTCTGTTTTTGCTATTTTGGGAACCGTCTAACAACAACGGTAATATTACATGAATTACTTCGTTTATACTTCATTTACTTTCTCTAGCGATGTGCCCCTTTCAATGTCTTAGATGCGCGCTGGCAAAAGCGAACAGTTTTGTTCAATCATGAATAGTAGTGCGAGTCGAAAACAAGCGTTAAAGCCTTTAATATGTCTTCAAATATAAATAAACATCTCGTTGATATTTTCAGTACCAATAATAGCACATTTGAGCAATGCAATTGTAGGGGATAAAATGGTCAATTTTTCCGTGCAGTACTGTACGGATTATACGCTCCTCACCGGTTAAGAGTTTGGCCGAGAATTGTCTCCTTCCTTTTCTGGCCTAGTGCTATTCTTTTCTACTTTGCGCCGGTCAAACTGAAGGTCACATCGCTACAGAAACTAAACGAAGTGTATATTTCACCAATTCAACAGTCGGTAGGCGACTGTAGCACCTAGTGTTTAATGCTTTATTTCACTTAATTATTGCAACTAAAAGAAGTAAGTAATCAAGAATTAATAAGAGTTGGGCTGAAAAGCCGTGATCGAAATGAACGATTGGAGCCCATGGCCGAAGAAGGGATAAGGTGTTTGGAGAGTGAAGATGAGACAGGAATGAGCTTGCAGAACACTAAAACATCATATCGTGGAGGCAGAAGGGTGGTACCGCGGGAGGTTGAGCTGAAGAATTGAATAAAAATAAATAAACTGTTATTACATAGACGATGGGGCAGTCTGTTACTTTTCCTCTGTTTTTATGTGAGAGGAAGGAAGAGGAACTCTTACCATAATCTAAATTTATGCACCAAAGGAAAATAGTTAGATTATAAGGGCTGTAAGATCCCTTTTCTCTAACAAAAAAGGAACGGTCCCATCGTATGTACAATAAGCGTCTATTTATTTTTATTTGGTTCTTCACCTGCATATATTGTGTCTCCTTCTATTCGCTCCCTTTTAAAAACATTCCTTTAGTGTTTTTCAAAGTCATCCTTACCTCCCTGCACCCTCCAAGGGGAGAAGGGCTCTGACCAACGGTGATAGGCAGCTCATATAATTAGTCAGTTACCTCCATTCTCAATTTTCAGTTTCACTTATTTGATGTACTGTAAGGGGACCTCACCCCTATCCACTCCTTCCCCCCAACCGGCCATGGATCACATACCTATACAATCATTAAACGTTTAAAAGCTGACGTTTCGAAATCACTCGGTGCTAAGTTTAGACTGCACGGTGGATGACGTGATAGTGAATTTGAAAGCAGCAGCCATTGTTTTGCGCTTGTTCAGTGTCGATTTCAACTTTTATTTCTTGCTCACTGGGTTCTTCAACTCTTCCTTGGTTTCTAGAGTATCATACCTCATCGCCAATAGCGATTGTTTTTAAGGACTCTTCCTTCTCTTCAGAAAGCCGTGGCAGCAAATTTATATTAAGGGAGCACTGGAAAGCTGGTAACAAAAGCCTTCTGACGATTATTTAGAAGAATGAATACGACACAACTCCCCTTTTAGTAATAAAATTCTTTTGTTATGCATATGTTTGTGTTTCTTTCTTCCGGTTCATCGGAGGTTGAAAAAAAATAGCCCACTTTACCTTGAAGTCTCGGTAGCGACTCGCCCGTTTATTTCGATCACAGTCCGTTAGACCGAATCTTAATTCTAGGAATTCATTCCGTATATAATGTCGTTTTCTTTGAGTCCCTGCATACAGAGAGGGTATTTTACTTTTAGTACAAGTAAAGAAAACCTTAAGCCTGTCTTGTTTTTGTACTGAAATCCGAATGCTTTATAGCCATTGCGACTTTTATAGCCGTTTAACAATGTTTCCAGTAATAAAATTTCCGATTTCAATATCTTAAACGAATCGAAAACCTTTTTCAAGTGTTCGTGAATAAAAAGCTGTTACATTGTGAATGTTTACGACAAGTGCACATTTGTTATTTCACTTGAAATTCTAATTACATCGCATTTTGTGTTTGGTTGGAACATTAATTTACTTGAAAAATTACTTACCTTTTTAGTCCATGGATGTTCACTATTCCATTTACGAAAACGATTGGATAACCGCCAGCAAATCTTTTAAGACTTCAATGTTGATTATAATGCTAAGATTGGAAAAACCCTTGTACTTAACGATTGCAGGAGTATCCCGGGTTACCCTCAATACTTTCGTGCAGGTAAGTAGGGTACATTTATATTTTGTTGTCGTTATTTTCTAAACCAAGTGTGAAAATTTGTAGATTGTTAAATATGGTTACTCCTTCTTGGCAGTAATAAGAAAGTCAAAATTTTAACAATTTTAAGAAGCTTTAAAATAGTGTATCAAATAATGTATTACCAATTATTTTTAGTACGCCACGAATTGTAAAGAAAGTATTTATCGACAAAATGTTGCTGTAATAAACAAAAATCGATACTTAAAAATAAATATTTGCCACAAATAAATTCTCCGTTTATTATTTTCTTTTCTCTTATCAGTCTCATCCTACAGGAAAAATATTTGATTTACTTTTCTCATCGAATTTCTTCATTTGATCAAACAACCCTTTCGGCGTTTTCAGTTATAAAAACGATAAGATCCACTCGTTGTTTATTTCCAGTTTTCCATTAAACATATAAGAAAATTGGTTTCCTTTTGGGTCATATCATCATCATATTGTTACTTGGCGTGTTTCCATTAACAACAAAAATACCCCCGCTATCCAGCGGTCCGGTGTAATGATAGTTGGTCCATCGAGATGAGTGCGTTTTTCTGTAGATAAAAACTCTAACGGCATGGTGTACGTCGTGATTGGCGAAACAAAATAGGCAAGACACACAAAACCCCTATAACGATTAAGATAAATAACAAATTCAAGTACATGTTCAGTATTACAATTCAGGGCACCAAAAGCCACAGCTGCCAGTTCGTGTTAGGCAGTCAGCGACTTTTTGATGCCCCACACTTTAAGTGTAATCCTACGGTCAATGTTGGAAAATTATTTTACAGCATTAGGCTTGATTCCCACTATCACCTGGACGACGGCAGGTAACCGTCTGTCAGATGTCCGTTAAAGTTAAAATAGTATTCACTGTATTCGTGTATGTCACGTATAACCGTCTAGCTGGCGTCTACCAGTGACTGTTATTGCAGAAGAGAATACTTTGACGTGACGATTCCTGTTGGTGATGATTGCTAATGCTAATGAGAATACATTAAGTTCGTTGCCAACCAGCAGAAATCATTAAATTGATATTTCGACATTCTGCAGTCATCATCATCATAAGGTCGTCAGTCTTAAGACTGGTTGGACATCTCCACTCTTTCCTATGCTGAGCTAAACTTCGCATTTCCCTAAAACTAGAACAACCCACATCCTTAACTATTTCTGAACAGCAATCTAATCTACACCTATCTCTACCCCTCCTTACTCCTGTTTCTGCCTCTAATATGTATCTGACTAGACCATCATGCTTGAGAAAGTGTCCTACCAACCTATCTAGCCTATTTCTAATTGAGTCTTTTGCTCTCTTATTCTTTTTAATACCTCTTCATTTCTAACCTTCTCTATCCACGGTATCCTCATCATTCGCCGGCAACACCACATTTTGAACGCTTCTAACAATTTCTTTTCCGCAGCGCCCACAGTCCATGTTTCGCACCCGTACAGCGCCACGCTCCAAAGACCTTCAACAATCTTTTTCGAATTTCTAAATTAACCGTTCGCGAGCATAGAATTGACTTCTTTTTGTTGAAGGCGACTCGACCCTGCGCTTTTCCTCTGCTTTATATCCCTACTCCACCTTCCGTCCTGACTTATCTGATTTCCTAGACACCTAAAATCAGCCACTTCTTCTAATTTTTCGTCTTCTATCTTTATATTCGCTCTTTCCCTACTTTTTCTTCCCTTACATACCAGTATTTTTGTTTTACTTTTATTTATTTTCATGCAGTACCGTTCTGTCAATACCGCTTCCATTTTATTTAAAGCTATCTCTAACTCCTCCTTGTTAGACGCTAATTCTGCTATATAATCTGCAAATCTAAGCATACTAATCTTTTGCTCCTGTATATCTATCCTTACAGTCGCACTGTAATGATGCTGATCGTGTCTTCGACGTATAGGTTGAAAAGTACCAATACTAATGAAATTTTATTATCTAACTATTCTTTATACAGTATGAAAATTTTTCCTTCAGTTTTTCCGTCCAATAAACTTTTGTGTGTCCATCATTTTTATTTTCATGTTATTCTTGTTTTTCATTTCTTCCCCATTTCCTCATCTTCTTCTCCAAGTAAAATACTTATAACTGATAACGTGCTAACCGTTCAAAATTTTCCGAAAGACTGACGATTGGTTGCCCGCCGTCGTCTAGATGGATAGTGTGAATATCAGCCTTTAAGGAGCGTAAGTGAAGTTAATTTAATGTGACGTATTTTGCGCAAGAAAGTGTCAGGAAGTAAGTGAATTTCACAGTAAACGACTGTACATTAGCAAGCCCTTCTCTACAAACTTCCGGTACACACAATCAACGCATTAATGTGGAGAGAATAGACCCTGAATTTATTCAAAGATAATGGCGCTGCTTATTTTACATTAATATTCGTCAGAACAATGTTTGCCAAAGAAATTTAATTTGCATACCTGTAAGGAAACAACCACGACAGTGATATATTGATACAGATGTTCGTAAGGGTCGTGAATATCTGGACGAAGTGGTATAAGAATGTGTTGAAGACCGAATAGGGGCACAAGAATTAGTGCAGCCCTAACAGCCCTCCGAACGCTCAAAGGGGCCGGCTGATTCGATTGGGAATGCATAATTGTTATAATAACCCTCAAGACATTGATTAGGAACACTGAAACAAACGAAATGCTTGAAACATAACACTTAACGTGTGGTGGGATTGTACAGGATTGTTTATTGCTTTTTACATATATTAACAAGACATAAAACAGCACTCTTAAATATGTTTAAAGTAAGAGAAACGTTTAATATTTGAATTTCTGTTCTGTAGGTACTGAAAACAATCGATCCCCAACAATTTGCATTTCGAAATATTCATAGACATTTAGAAGCCCTTCAAGAAATTTTAAAGAATTAGGTATACAGTTGATATTCCCGGGTGAGCTAATAAAAAGAAATCGTTTTTTACTTTTTTTTTACATTTAATTTATACCATCTAAAATAGGAATATTTCGAGCCGCAAGTCAGAGGAAATTCATTCCGACTAGAATTTATACATAGTGGAAATTCTTTATGTAGCCTGTGGACTTCATGTGTCAACTGATGAACACGCCGATAGAAGTATTTCCCTGTAGATTTCTCATATGGGCTTTACAAAACAATTCGACGATGTTGAAGTGAAGTATACTTTATGAATTTTCCACAAGGACCATCTGGCAGATATCAAATATACTTACCTTGTCATCCTATACAAATTAATGGTCATGTAATATTAGGACATATTTGAAAATTATTAGTTAGCTTTGGTGACGAGAGGACAAACTATAGCAAAGATAGCGGGAAGTATAAAGACAGGGACGAAGTCCTGGCCGACGATGACAGTTATCAAAGATGGCTGACGATGACAGTTATCAAAGATGGCTGACGATGACAGTTATTTAAGATGGCTGACGATGACAGTTATCAAAGATGGCTGACGATGACAGTTATCTAAGATGGCTGACGATGACAGTTATCAAAGATGGCTGACAGACGTGACGTCAGAGTAGGCGTGGAGGTGGTATAACGGTACAAAAAGGACGAAAATTAGCCTTCATAAGAAAATACATGGGATTTTGAGGCTAAACGAAGGTAATCTGTCTACTTATAGGTAATCCGATTTTGACACCGAGCGTCGTGGCCTAGCATTCGAGAGGAACCTGGTTCAATTCCAGATCCGTCTGTTTTGGTCCAAGTTAGTCCTTGGATCACTTAGCCAAATACTGGAGCAGTAATATTCCACAGATAATCTTTCATTCTCTTCTGTCCCGAATCATCACTCCCCAATTCCCACGATTCCTGAAAAGAGGCTGAAGAGGCCCTTCCGCCCTACTTTCCGGCGTAGTCCGAAGGAACTGCCCGCCTGCCAGCATTAGCGGTTGGTGGGAATGAAACACTAAAAGTTTTTTTCCGATTTCGATTATTCAAATATTTTTTGAAACAGAGAGCCATAATTTTTCTTCACGAAGGCCACATGTGACTTTCATAATGAGGCACGAATGAGCAAGGCGTTATGCATCCTTTGCGCGTCTCTTAGGTCAGTATCATGGGGCCCACACAAGTCATTGTGACTAACCTAACAGGGAACGTACCTGTACCTCCCTAAAATTCTAATTGGGATCATTCTAAATGTAGAAGAAACTGGCTGACCAAAAATAAGAAGACCTAACAAAATGGATCGCCTTTATCGTATTTATATTAATGAAACATTTTATTATCTGATGCTCTTATCAAATATCATAAATTTTGTTTGCGTACACTGAAAATTAAATAAAACTGAGATATAATCGATATTTTTTTGTAGTCAACACAAATGCGTAGATATACCCTGCAATTATTATCAATTATCCTAGGTAGAAGATTTCATTAAATATTCCATGGTAGTTTATTTTTCGTATATGAATAAATACTCATATATTATTTAATATAGATAGAATTTGGGAATAAGGAGTGAGAAATAAATATAAACACCACTAAGAAAACCTTCAGCATATGAATGGCTAGCCAACTAGGTTTACATACATATTTTTATCTGCTGAATCTGTGCACCCTTTTTCTCGTATAAAAATAAAATATTCTTAACTTATCGGCGTTTCCTTCCGTTTGGCAGCAAATAAAAGGCGTCTTTTTCGCTGTCAACGTTGCTGAATATGAAACATTCCAAATAGATAAAGCATACGTAATATACGTATGTTTTCAGCGTATTTCCCGACATATGTAAAAATACCAACATGAAGTTTTGACGTTGAAATAGGTACAATAGGAAAACAAAGTTAATATTTCAAAACTTTTGCCAATGGTTACTTTTAATAGCAATTTTTGTTTTATTCTCTTCAATTACGTATAAAGTTCTTGCTGTTTAACATATGAAGGGATGTAGCCAGCTTTTTCTTCGTTGGTCACACATCACAACCGTTGTATATTTAAAGCACTTATAGGTATGATTGCGACATACGAGGTTTGTTCAAAAAGTATAGCGAATTTTGATGTTTCGCGGGTCACGTATATTCGGTCATCTTGAATGTTTAGTTAATTTTTGGTAGTTGCTTTGCTTGCCCGTGTTTTGGCTCGTCTTCAATTTTTGCCTATTTCAAAAAATAGATCAAAGAATCTGTATCAAATTTTGTGAGAAAAACAAAATTAGGTGCGCGGACGCATTCCGAATGTTGACTGTAGCATATGGTCGACAAGATGTAAACGACGAAGAGCGTGCGGGACGTCCGAGCACGTCAACAACAGTTTCTACTGTTGTTGTTTTCTAACATTGATGAAAATAGTATTGACCAATCGCTGAATTACCGTTAGAGAAGTTGCTGTGGACTTAAACATATCGATTGACTCCTGCCATTGAGTTTTTACCAACGATTGGGGCATGAGATGGGTCGCCGCGAAATTCGTACCAAAATTGCTCACTTTCGACCAAAACCAGCATCGCATTAACATTGCTAAAGAGCTGTTGCTTCAGAGGGTCATAACTGGTGACGAATCATGGGTTTATGGTTACGTCGTGGAAACCAAAGCTCAATGATCCCAATGGAAGCTGCCGCACGAGCCAAGACCGAAATAAGCGCGCCAAGCTAGGTCGAATGTGAAGGTTTTGCTTACAGTTTTCTTCGATTGCAGGGGCGTGGTGCATTATGAGTTCTTGCCACAGGGCAGAATGGTCAATAAGGAAAATTACCTGCAAGATATGCGCAATTTGCGTGGAGCGATCCGCCAGAAAGATCCGGACTTGTGGAAGAATATGATAACTACTTTGCTCACACATTGCGAATTTTTGGCCGAAAAACAACACACTAATAATACTGCAGTAACCGTATTTCCCAAATCTGGCCCCCTGTGACTTTTTCTTGTTCCCGAAACTGAAGAAAGGACGACGTTACGCTAGGATTGACGAGATAAAGACGGCATCAACGGAGGTAGTGTTGCCCAAACGCAAGAACAAGACGAGACTTAGCCAGTCTTGGTCTTGGTCTTGCGCCAATACACCTGGTCTTGGTCTTGCGCTCCCAGTCTTGGTCTTGGTCTTGGTCTTGCAGCAAGAGTCTTGCAAGTCTTGCAATTACCTATTAGTCTATTACTATTTATTAAAGTTTACTTTAAATCCTAGAAAAACGTATTAGAATTGGAACATTGTGAGCTTGAATGAATATAGCCATAGTAAAGATCAAGCAGATTAATAAATAACTGAAGATTTGATAAGAAATTCGAAAAATCAACTGACCTATATGTCGTTTTCCATGGAAGTAACTGTTTCTTAATAAACATTTATGATCCTTGCTTTCTACCGCGCCGCCTCGCCACGTGCCGGCTCTATGATAAGGATGCCGCCGCAAATCAAACAATAATATAAAGCGTGTAAAAAAATTCGAAATTATTTTGCATGAGTATACCTACACCCTATGGCGGCAATCAAATAGTGTCAAATGTTATGATTTCGGCGTGGCGGCAACGATTGTTTTAGATTTCAAAAGAAGCCGCCGGCGCGTGTATCATAACCATGTACTTCCGAAAAGCGGCAAATTTCTTTGAGAAGTAAGTACAAAACCTTTGATGCCGCATTATCAAAGTGCCGATGGTTAAAACATAACTATGCATGCACTCAGTTTGATTTTAATAATTTTTTTATTCGCTATGTTTATGGTATTAGTCGTAATGCGCATAGGTCCAGTTTTTCATATTCTTTGATACAGTTTTTTGCGTCTCATAGAATTCCTAAGCGTACCTACCTATACACCGAACTGTTACACCTAACTACTCAGTGAAATAGCGCTAAGTCCTAGCTGCAAGACGCAAGAGTCTTGCAGGCTATGTCTTGTTCTTGCTCAAATCTTGCACGGTCAGTCTTGGTCTTGGTCTTGCTAAAAATACGCGGTCTTGTTCTTGGTCTTGGTCTTGCAAAAACGCAAGAACAAGACCAAGACTGCAAGACCAAGACTGAATTTGGGCAACACTAAACGGAGGAGTTGAACAAGATGACAAAAAATTATTTTTTTCGGAAAAAACGTTGGCACAAGTGTATAATATCTGGTGGGGATTACTTTGACGATGATAAAATAGATATTCATGAATAAATAAATAATTAGAAAAAACACATAACACTTTTTGAATAGACCTTGTTTACGCCTTGAATACCTGAATTTCGTAAAAATGATAACGCAAAACCGCAAGTGCCTATATAATTCCACATAACTCAAAACGCCTTGAGCTCAGCAAAAATATTACGTACCTGTACGTATACGGAGGAAAAGTAAAGGAAGTCTGAGACCGCATATTTATATCCTCCCTCAATGGTGCGTGTTGTCCTATTATTCACCACCCCTTAGCAGGAAGTGTAATTTTCTCGGATAAGTAATACAGTAACATGTTCATCGAGAGATAAATTGCAAAAGCTCTCGATTTGGACAAAGTAATAAATCTTTTTGCATCATTAAATAAAGACGTAGCAAAGCGTTGCATTCTTTGTTTTCATCCAATCGCATTTATAAAAACGTGGGAAGAAAATCTGTTATTCCTCAACTTGTAAATTAAAAATTTTTATCATTATTAACGTGAAGTTGTACAGATGCAAGTTATACACAAAGTTTTATATTTCCATTTTTATTTAATACAAAGCGTATTGTACAACGTGATGTTGAATTTAATGCGGTTTCAAATTTTCAATTTTACAAACTGAAAGCGTCTTGGTTTTTGAGACATTTCATAACTCATTTTCTTCACTTACTGTTAGATATGATTCAATTTATTTACCAATGTCGTGATTTTATTTCACAAAAATATTCGGTTTTTGTAAAAAAAAAAATTGTCATAATGGTCCACAAAATCGAAATCGAAAAAGCGTCTATAATTGAGCTGCTGAAACGTAAAAAGTAGATATTGTAAACGTTTCAAGGACCTAATATCTCCATGCGACAATTCACCAATCAACAAAGGAATGTAAGGATGGAACACCCTGTTTGATTCATGGACTACGGACAGTTGCGTGTGGGAAGAGATAAGTTATCGTCCTTTTTGCTTACTTTTTGGACGGATTGCAAAATATTACTTGTTATTTTTTGCAATAATAGAAGTGATTCCCAAATGTGAGAAAAGATTAAGGTCGTCAGCCCTAAGACTGGTTGGACACGCATCTCCACTCTTTCATATCCTGAGCTAATCTTCGTATTTTCCCAAAACTAGAATAACCCAACTATTTGTGAACAGTAATCTAATCTAGGCCTACCTCTACCCCTCCTAACTCCTGTTTCTGCCTCTAAAATGTTTCTGACTAGACCTTCATGCCTGAGAAGGTGTCGTACCAACCTATCTCGCCTAGTTCTTATTTACTTCCATAGAGTCCTCTGTTCTCCTATTCTTTCTAATACCTCTTCTTTTCCGCCGCACCAACTGTCCATGTTTCGCACCCGCATAGTGTCGCGCTCCAAGCATACACCTTTAACAATGTTTTTCGAATTTCTGAATTAACCGTTCGCAAGCATAAAAGTGACTCCCTTTTATTGAAGACGACTCGAACTCTGACTTCCTAGATGCCTAAAATCACCCACTTCTTCTAATTTTTCATGGCCTATCTTTATATTCGCTCTTTTCCTACTTTTACTTCCCTTGCCTACCAGTATTTTCGTTTTACTTTTATTTATTTTCATACAGTACCCTTCTGTCAATACCGCTTTCATTTTATGAAAAGCTATCTTTAACTCCTCCTTGCTAGACGCTAATACTNTTCATGGACTACGGACAGTTGCGTGTGGGAAGAGATAAGTTATCGTCCTTTTTGCTTACTTTTTGGACGGATTGCAAAATATTACTTGTTATTTTCTGCAATAATAGAAGTGATTCCCAAATGTGAGGAAAGATTAAGGTCGTCAGCCCTAAGACTGGTTGGTCACGCATCTCCACTCTTTCTTATCCTGAGCTAATCTTCGCATTTTCCCAAAACTAGAATAACCCAACTATTTGTGAACAGTAATCTAATCTAGGCCTACCTCTACCCCTCCTATCTCCTGTTTCTGCCTCTAATATGTTTCTGACTAGACCTTCATACCTGAGAAGGTGTCCTACCAACCTATCTCGCCTTTTTCTTATTTACTTCCCTAGAGTCCTCTGTTCTCCTATTCTTTCTAATACCTCTTCTTTTTCGCCGCACCAACTGTCCATGTTTCGCACCCGCATAGTGTCGCGCTCCAAGCATACACCTTTAACAATGTTTTTCGAATTTCTAAATTAACCGTTCGCAAGCATAAAAGTGACTCCCTTTTATTGAAGACAACTCGACCTCTGACTTCCTAGATACCTAAAATCACCCACTTCTTCTAATTTTTCATGGCCCATCTTTATATTCGCTCTTTTCCTACTTTTACTTCCCTTGCCTACCAGTATTTTTGTTTTACTTTTGTTTATTTTCATACAGTACCCTTCTGTCAATACCGCTTTCATTTTATGAAAAGCTATCTTTAACTCCTCCTTGCTAGACGCTAATACTGTTACATCACCTGCAAATCTAAGCTACTATTATTTTTCCCCTGTATATCTATCCCTACAGTTGTACTGAAAAGATTTCACTGGAATAAAAAGTTTGGGATTTTTCAAGAAGATTACCTTTCCTAATTAAATCAATATACACGTATATTTTTGTATTTAAATTGAAAATACTCCCTACATTACATAATATTGCTAAAACGATTAATCGAAAAATCAACTAGAGAAAATTTCTCTACTTTTACAAAATTATATCGTTCCTAGTCGTAGGACTGACGACCTTACGATGATGATGATGTTAGAGAAGAGTCGTCATTATGTCAGGGAAACTCGAAAACGATTGCAGGACGGTAACGTCCCATTTTGTAACCAGAGAAAATAACTCCCCCAAGCACGATCTTTAGAACAAATTTGATTCTTATTCAATAGATATATAAGTGTACGGTAATGGACGGAAGGCCGGAAATAGACAACTAACAAGGAGAATTTACTGAAAAAATTGGAAAATCGTTGCCATCCAGTCAACCAATGAGGCACTTAAAAACAGAAATGTGTAGACGGTTCGGATTCAATTTAAGATTATAATTTTGTGTCAAAAAAAATCATTTGTAAGATTCTACTATCTTTTGCAATTATATATAACGAAAGAAAATGCTTTAATTTCGTTTTAGAGAGTTTNGCAACAATTTTTGTGTATATTTCTTCCCTAGAGTCCTCTGTTCTCCTATTCTTTCTAATACCTCTTCTTTTTCGCCGCACCAACTGTCCATGTTTCGCACCCGCATAGTGTCGCGCTCCAAGCATACACCTTTAACAATGTTTTTCGAATTTCTAAATTAACCGTTCGCAAGCATAAAAGTGACTCCCTTTTATTGAAGACAACTCGACCTCTGACTTCCTAGATACCTAAAATCACCCACTTCTTCTAATTTTTCATGGCCCATCTTTATATTCGCTCTTTTCCTACTTTTACTTCCCTTGCCTACCAGTATTTTTGTTTTACTTTTGTTTATTTTCATACAGTACCCTTCTGTCAATACCGCTTTCATTTTATGAAAAGCTATCTTTAACTCCTCCTTGCTAGACGCTAATACTGCTACATCACCTGCAAATCTAAGCTACTATTATTTTTCCCCTGTATATCTATCCCTACAGTTGTACTGAAAAGATTTCACTGGAATAAAAAGTTTGGGATTTTTCAAGAAGATTACCTTTCCTAATTAAATCAATATACACGTATATTTTTGTATTTAAATTGAAAATACTCCCTACATTACATAATATTGCTAAAACGATTAATCGAAAAATCAACTAGAGAAAATTTCTCTACTTTTACAAAATTATATCGTTCCTAGTCGTAGGACTGACGACCTTACGATGATGATGATGTTAGAGAAGAGTCGTCATTATGTCAGGGAAACTCGAAAACGATTGCAGGACGGTAACGTCCCATTTTGTAACCAGAGAAAATAACTCCCCCAAGCACGATCTTTAGAACAAATTTGATTCTTATTCAACAGATATATAAGTGTAGGCTAATGGACGGAAGGCCGGAAATGGACAACTAACAAGGAGAATTTACTGAAAAAATCGGAAAATCGTTGCCATCCAGTCAACCAATGAGGCACTTAAAAACAGAAATGTGTAGATGGTTCGGATTCAATTTAAGATTATAATTTTGTGTCAAAAAAAATCATTTGTAAGATTCTACTATCTTTTGCAATTATATATAACGAAAGAAAATGCTTTAATTTCGTTTTAGAGAGTTTCCATTTCATTTAATTTATTTAATTAAATTTATACTAAGTGATTGATCAAACTATTTTTGTTAAGTAATATACGGTAACATTTGAAACAAAGAAAATTGAGTTTTTAAAACTTATTTAAAAAGCTTACCAAATGATCCCAGTAATGAGACACATACAGGTATCGTCAGTATCCAGGTACTGTGGCTGTCATCGATCCAACAGCTAAAACATTTTAAGTACTTTTACTCCTAATTATTTCTAATATTAACACAAACATGAGTATCTCACTGTTATGGATACAATAAAAGTCAGCTACCGAGATTTATTTATGTGTAGAATGTTAACTGTACGAAATCACTTGCAGTTTGGGCCATGCTCCATAATCATTGTAAAGGGGATTCCTCCCCCTGAGTTAAAATTAACTCATTTCAAATGATTTAGTTTAGAACTGCAGGTGCATTTTAAAGAAAAAGAAATGTGTGTATATTAGGGTGCTTCAAACAAAATTTTTATTTTTTTCCGTTTCATATTCTCAAAGTTGAGTCGTTGAGCTTTACAAAACTCTAAGACAAAGCATGATTATCTTTACAAATTCCCAAACTGTACCAAAACAACACTTGCCACTGCAGAATAAATCAAATTAATAACGTATCGGAAAGGCGTATTTTTCTTAACTGCTATAATGTGCTCTAATTATCATTAATAAAAAACTATCAACTAGAATGAACATGTTCAATTTTTTTGTTGGATAATTAATATAAACTAATATGGAACAAAATTATAATCCATGATTACTTGTAATCATACGATTAATTCATTTATCTTATTATTATCATGTGTGCTGCCACCTACACTACGTACTGAGAACCATTTTTGAAATTTGTAATATATAAAAATACAATACTGACTAATAGTTTGATTAAAAATTTTGAGGATTATGCAAAAAAAAAAAATTGCAAGCTATTTTTTCAAATTTCAAAATTTAGTAATTTTTAAATGGCTGTAACTAGTCTTTTTGTAAAGATAATCATACTTTGTCTTAGAGTTTTGTAAAGCTCAAAGACTCAACTTTGAGAATATGAAACGGTTTTTTGGAAAAAATTGCGTAAATTATGTGTAAATTCAATTTAAAACAAAAAAGAATTTTTCCTATGTTAATTAAATGGGAAACTAAAATAAAAATAGCGACCCCTTAGATTTGAGCTATAGGGCTCATGTTTGGCGAGGATTCTTTTACATCAAATAGAAACAATAGAAGGGGGTAAGAGTTAGAAAAAAACATTAAAAATTTTGGTTGAAGCCTACCTAGTGTATATAAATGAATGCCTTCTACGTCAAATTAGTTCGGTGACTATGTATCAGTGTATAGACATGACTACTAGCTCGATTGATGTTTAGGCAATAAATTAGAGAGCATATCGTAATAAGTAAATCGCGAAGCGATGAATTTCATCTTCGTACTGTTGTGCGAGTCGAGATTTCCATCCAGAAAATGGACAAGTTTTGTAGCGGTAGCATGTTCGCATAATAATGGAAACTACGTCTCTTAGTATGCGGACAATCAAGTAGGAATAGGGGTAGATACAGAGGGTGAAAGTACCCTATTTGTTTTTTGAAGAACGTCATCTAGACAGTATTCAAAAATTTACAGCAATGTAGACCTTGAGATACTAGAATTCCCGGAGGGCAAACGCATAATTTGAAATGAAGGGGATGGTGAATGGGGTAAAGTTGACAAACATTACTCCAAAAATAAAATGAAATACATCGACTATTTCGCATTATTTCGGAAAAAGTTTGCATGCATCAAAATTATTTGGAGATATTTTACGAATTTTTCTTAATGGAACTTACTTCAACAATTATTTTGATAATCGGAAACCTGAAGCTGATTTGCTTTTAATTTTTCATATTATGAATGACGTTTTCTTGCAACAATTTTTGTGTATATTTCACCTCTGTCGGTCATCCCTTTTGGTCTAAGCCATGTGTTGGTCTTTCCGGAATTCAATTATTTATACCGAGGTTTACATTTCTGTAAATCCTTGAACCGATCTCGTTGATGTAATTTAAAGAAACGTAGAGCACTTTTATATCCTTTGTATCTCCTCCTTGTTCCTAGCGAGCTACTCGCGTCCTTATAATCGTAAACCTTCGCTATCCAAATATGTTACCGTATTTGTCCTTATTCCAGATGGCATTGAAGTCTCGTGCTCAGGTCTCCGACTAAACTTCACCCTCGACGAGCTAATTCTGCATGCGACAATTTTCTGATAAATTAATATCGCTTCTATCTAATGTTAGAATTGCTGAATCTCTACATTGTTGTGCATGTATCTGAATAATCTGTTGGTATACATGTTTTAGTCAGTATAAAATGTTTGGAAACTTTAGAAACTGACAGTGGTGGATTTAAGTTCGACTGCGACTTAGATACTCCCAAGGATACAAGAATCAGCGACTTAGATACTGTCTGAGACTCCATTAGGATACAAGAATGAAATTAATAATTATTCCAAAATAGTTATAAATTGTCTAGGAATTAAGATGCACGATAAAATAATTCGCACACACAAGTCCGTGACAAAAGAAAACTACGGGAAGGTTCTGGAATTAATCAGGAGCAGCACTGGAAATTGATATACTCCAGAATATCTAAGACTGCAGAATTTAATTAAAAGGAATTTTGGGATGTGCTAATATTATACATACTTCAAATAATTCGTTTGCTATTTATCTTCTATCAAAATTCTATAATTAGTTGCTAGGTTAGGGAATCTCGGTAGCTGGATCAACAAGCAAAATGTATAAAGTACAGTGGATTTCATTTATTACGACCTTGCTTGTATCGACCATTTTGCTATAGCGACGTGATATCGTTGAATTTAAAGCACGGTTTAGTGCAAAATTTATGTGGCTATAGCGACTTTGGATATAACGCTGAGTTCGAGTGTAGCGACTCTTTTTAATGAGTCTTTTGTAACAAATTTCCAAAGATACAAAGAGCTTTCTTAACTATTGTTTACATCCACACAGAAGATTAGCAACTGCAGTGACCTTTACAGTTTGATTGAAGATATTAGCTAAATAGGTAGGTAGTTTCGAAGTTTTTATGATGCACATTGACTGTTAAAGAAAAAGCGGAAATCACTTCAAAATTGAAAACTAATGAAAACTATACATGCACTTCTATATCCTTTTTTGCCTATATATCGACGAAATTATAGTGGTCCCTTTGTCGTTGTTATACCCGAAATCCACTGTATTATAATAATGGTTACATAAGAATATGAACGCATGTAAGTATACGCACAATCGTATAGTTTGTAAAAAGCAAGAAAATAAATGGAAGTAAAATTGTGTCGCCTTTGCATTTTTCTAAAATTCTTCAATCGCCCACACACACAAAATATACTGTTACAGAACTTACTGTTTAGTGTCTGCAGCAAGATTATAGCGAACAAGCCCGTATATTAAAATAAGTATTAGAGGAACACTCCAGCCAATTACAAAGAACCACCTCATCGCCACTTCGTCCCTGATGAAGACCACCACTAAGACCAAGTGAAGATGAAGTCCCTCGCAAAACATCCACATGTAGTTAGCAACCATAAAGTAGTAAATTAACAAATGCAGACTTTGGCACCATACCTTTATAAAACAAACCATATTAATAAGTAAATGATAAACGACAATATTAAAAAATGTGGAATGTGAGTTTCGGTCGATTTGATTTAAAACTGGCCAAAAAGTCTAATGGACGTGAAGTTAGGTAATTGTAAACCCTTGAAATGTTGTCCACTAGAATCAAAGTAGGTACAGTAAAACCCCGCTCAATGCACAGGATACGTTCCATCTTATTAAAAAAAACAACAATATAAACGAATATACTTATAAAAACAAATAAAATTAGTCAGTCAGATCATTCAGTCTATCCTGTTTTCAATTTTCTGCCTTTTTGTCAAGAAGCCATTTAATGTAGTTTAAATGCGTTTTACTTTTGCATTCTGTTAGAAGTTGTTGATAAATAAGTGGATAAAACATCTATAACACCCCATCTTGCTTTTGAACTCCTGTCAAAATTTGGATCATTTTCAACGAATTGATCCATAAAGCCTAGCGCTGCGCACAATTTCGGGGGAATCCCCGGGTTGAAATAAAAGAGCGCTAAACCGAAACAGAGATAAGCGGGGCCTTACTGTATATCATTATCTTCGAGTGAAGAATCAATCGTCTTATACATTATTCTTTGTGTTTTTCAAGAATTACTTAGTATAAAGGACCTTTTTGTAGGAACTTCAAAGTACCGAGTAGCGTTATCTAGTGGTTGAAAACATAACTAGTATTCGGAAGAACCATGGACGTAGATAAGTAAGGGGTCATTGCGCCCCCTGGAAAAGACTCTGATGAGTCACGATATCGGCACATTAAAATACTAAAAATCTGCTCTCCCTAGGAAGAATCTCTTGCTACGCCCATGAGGAGAATGCTAATCTGATTCATAATTCGTTTGTCATAGTCCAAGGTTTTCTGTTTTCGGTGAGCTATTCTATAATATAATTATTATACAAATGACAGACTTTTGCCTTTTACTGTTTTGATTTCGTTTACTCTACTTAACAATCACTACCCTTCACTCCTACGATTCCTAAGAACGGAAGGAGGGTTTTTATATTGTCCACGAGTTTATAACTCGCTGAAAGACAAAGACCTTTTTACTGTTCAAGGCGAGCTTCAGAATCAGTAAGGTTTTCAATTCGATAAGACTTTTATAAAGTCATAAAACGTATATGCAAAGAAGATAGCCAATCAGTATACATTTAATTGACACCTTTCACTACTTTTCCTCAATATAAAATCTGAAGTTTCCTTCTTAGTTATTTCAAGAACTATCCAGTTTTCGAACTTCACGTTCAGTAGAGGTTTTGCTCAGCATGGTATGGACCATTTTTCCAATCAAATCTACCAAAAGCCAATTTCCATAAGGTTTGTTGTATGTTTGTTTGTATTACAACAAGATAGTATCCATTAATTCATATTTAGGCCACTGATACAAAGTTAGTAGGTACCGGATCGTTGTCCGCCGACTCCACCATGACACACGAAAAGCGCTTTTTATATTAGTTTTATACATAATATATAAAGCATTATTAATTTAATGCCATATTGAAAGCGAATTCAGATATTTATTATTTATTAAATAAGTTACGATAATATAATGTTCACACAACTGAAATTATTAGTTGTGAAGACGTAGAAAAAGTCAAGGAACCGCCGCAGAGTGAGTAAAGACGACCAACCGTCTCACCACCTTGTTTTACTTGCCTCTCGTGATTCCATAATCTCGCAATTTTAAATAGATAATTTAGATGTACTTAGCAACTTCGTACCAGTAACTAGGAATTTATGGATACTATCTAGCAGTAGTTCGGCGTAAAACTATTACAGAGATAAGATTGTTATAAAAGTATTCCAAAAATGAAAATAGAAGTGAACAAAAACAGAGCAGAAAAAAATGATATCAACAATAAACACTGAGAAGATTAGCCTTATCTACGTGTACCTATTTTAATTATTTGACGATAATCTATGCACAGTAACAAAACAGCGTTAGATTAATGTAACAATACTGAAGGAGGAACACTGGCTAATGATCAAAATGAATTGAAAAAACAACGAATTTGTCTGTAAATTTGGGCGTTTAAGCATTTCAATATTCCATGTTCCAAGAATGGTGTCGTAAGCTTTACTTTTACGTATAACCAAAGTACCTTTCATTTTGCTTAAAGCAAATGCTAAGATTTATTTGTAATCAAACAAAGTTATAATTATTTACTTATCTGTCACAAATGATTCGTTTTGTACTCACTGGATTATCGATGACAACTTTGGGATTCGAAACGACTTGTTTATACCATATAATCCACATGCAGTTATTTGCAGCAAACGATATAAACAGCTGAATATGAACATTTATTCTAGTACATCGAAGCGACCTTCAAACGAATTTTATCTATCAGTAATTTAGCAATACTTTACAATTATTAAGAAATAAATGAAAATACAATGAAAGATCTGGAATGTACTGAGAACAGTGTTTGCTAAATTAAAATAATATATGTACAATAATTATAAAAACTTTCAAATAGCTCAGTCAAGCAAGTAAGGGCACCTCAATTTTATTTTTGGTAAGATAATAAAATATACGCTGATTCTGAATTGGTAAAGGTCTAGATGATGATCCCGAAGGGGGTGAGTGTGGGGGGTCGAAACAGGAGGTCTCCCCCACCACTGTACCATAAAGATTTCGTGGCGGTCTCACCCCCCATAAAAAGTTATGGGGGTTCAAAGTTAATAAATAGGCCAATTGTTATACATTTCTAGGCATGTAAATATTTATATAGTCATTCTTAAACAATATTCAAAGGTAAAACTAATGAAAAGTACATAAAAATATTGAGAAAGTTGTATAAAACATTATTTAAATAGCTTTATCAATAGGGTAGGTTAGGTTAGGTTATCGGATTTTGTTCAGGTGACCACCCTCTTTCAATCCGCCACTTCCACCCGCTTGAAAATAATTTTTTTATTGAATTTTATTTGAATTATAGTGTATGAAAATTGTCAAAATAATTAACTTTCAACCCCCATAACTTTTTAAGGGGGTGAGACCGCCGCAAATTTTTTATTGAGTTTTACTCAGGTAACCACGCTCTTTCGATCCCCCATTACTCTCTCTCGATCCCCCCTACCCCCACCCCATCTAACCCCCATAACTTTTTATAGGGGTGAGACCGCCACGAACTTTTTATGGTACAGTGGTGGGGGAGACCTCCTCTTTCGATCCCAACCACCCCCACAACCTTCGGGGGTGGGGGCCATCATCTAGAAATTTACCTCTGAATTTTGTCATCTACAGTTTGTTGTAGCAACATTTCTTAATTTTACAATCAGTGAAGAAACAATTACTTTTTGCGAAATATCTCCTTCCCAGTGCATTTTTGGCCATATCAGTTCTAATCGATATTTTTCAAAAATTCGAACGGGATATTAAATTTAAATAGCTTTTTGATTTTTCTAGCTTGATTTCAGTAGGAAAACATATTTACAAAACATTTTACAATTAAGAAGGAAAAAAATTGAATCGCTTATTATTCGAAAAGTTAACCGATCTTTCACATATTGTTCAACCAACAATTCTTGAAAATATAACGCTTCTATGTATTTTTAATGATCACTTTTGTCATCCTTTTCTAAATTTAGTATCAGTTCATTTAACAATGTAAGTAAATATTATTTATGTTTCATCACCTACAATAACGTAAATAAAATAAAGAAATAATATTAATCAAAAACTTTTCAAATGGCAATTGGAGAATCTGTGACTTTCACTCTATTTAACCAGTTATACCAACCCTTTTGTCTACCCCAGTGAATTTGGGCGAGGCTGCCCTTTATTCAATCATAATAAATTAAGGTCAATGCAGTGTTTCAAACTGTGAGTTTAAATGTTGTCGGGCTTGAATAAGATGCCAAAAACCAAAAATGTCGTGAATTAATTCAAAAGGAAAATGTTTTCTTTGACGCTTTGAAAGTTTGGTGAAAGAGTTTAATTTTCTACAATAAAATTTTAATGAAGTAGCAAGATCTAAAGAAAACGAATTGGTTTTTGTCTCATAAATATCGATTTTCAGTTTTTCTTAATGACACATTTCCTGTAATTTTCTGTTTTTATCAGTTTCTGCATTTACTATTTGGCAATACACTTTAAAAGAAAGATAGGTATTTATATTTAATACTTTTTACGTTAGTTGTATGTCATTATTCATTAATTTTGAAAAATAAACGATAAATAAAATATGTTAAAGTTATCAACTCTTGAGCTGTTTAAAAGTTATTTTTATTGATCTAACGATTATTTTTAGAACAAAATATGAGTTTTTTTATTAAATACGCATACATTCCTAACTATCTATGCAGAGATGGACAACAAGATAAAATATCTTTCAAGAGATCCCATTGAAGGAGGATAAATAACGAAATTTATCTTTCATACACCTACGTGTACTAGTGATAGAGAAATAAAATCGATATCGTAGAAAATTATATCGCTAATAAGGTTCTAGCTCCTACTGTTTACAATACAAAAGAACGCTATCCAAGTTGTTATATTTCTGGTAAATCCAGGTGTACATCCAGAAACAGTTCTTAAAGGGGGAAAGGAAGAATTAACTTCTTCCTATAAAATCTGAAGACGATGCTATTTGAAATACTGTTCAATAACAGAACTGTAGTTTTTTTTGTAATTATAGAACAGAATTTCTAATCTATTTTTGTAACACAATATTTTTTACAGTATACTTAAATAATTCATAAGTCATAGAGTTCTTGGGAAAGGAAATTTTCTCCTTTTCGGCCCCTGCCAGTGACAGATCCACAAATAATTCTTAGGGAAGGACATGAACTTTTTTTTGTAATATATAAATAGTGATATTATTTGGAATAGTATTCGGTGCGCCGCTTAAAATGATAGTTAAAAGAATTGTATTTTTTTCCTGAAATTTAGAGACATTCTATTTTTCTATCAAATTTGTTTTACGCTAGGTACTGAAGTAATTGATAAATTATAGAGCTCTTGGGCGGGAATTTAGTCCATTTTTCCCTTCTCGATACGCCACTGTATTGTATAAGTTTAATCAGCATACTCGAGTAGATGCTCTTTGAAGTTGTGGTAGTTTAAGTACAAATAAAGTAAATCGTAAAAAAATTTAGATATTAATTCTTTTTTACATTTATTCCGTTGTCATGTAACGACATCCTTAACCCATTAAAAACTGCTTCATTTCGTCATATTGGTTGAATTCTTCGGTTTTAGCATAATATCTTTCTGAGGCTTTTGTTAATTTCACAACGATAAAATTGTAATATATGAGAATAAGTGTTGTTTTGAAAATAAAATATGGGGAGTTCTAGGAAAAATGCACTCTTTAATTCAATTATCATAATCAGGATCTTTTTGATACACTATGTCGTCATGTTGTCATTCAAAAATAATTCAAGAGCAGATTGTAAAGAGTATTGCGAGGTAGTCAATTCTTCATCAATTTCAACATTTCCTTCAGCGTTTCAATTTGACACTTACTTAATCGACCCATAATTAATTAATTAGTCAATTAAGGTTAAGGAGGGAACGTTTTTACTTACAGATCCGTCAAGTTGAAAACGTTTTTTAGATTGATTAAATTTTTTTTATTTTCAATCAAGGAATTCTCGGAGAAATTTGAACATCCCACGAGTCGAGTTTCGAGGCGAGATATTTTCTCAATCGAACCTTCAAGGATATACACAAATATGGGAGTACATATACGGTATAATGTCCTTGGGGAGTCAACTAACAAGGAATTTGTAAAGTTGGTATTGACGTTTTTATCTATCGAATCTTGTTTAAGAGTAAATATCGTTTATTGCGACTAAAATTAGAGGATATTTAAAACTATCTGTCTAATTTTGTAGCATTTATGAATGTATTCTTAGCATCAGTAAAATAATAAAATTCTTCAAATTCAATTCTTTGGTTACATTTAAAGTAACCATAACCATGGGAATGAGTATCCGTTCTGTAACTTACAGTACTCTGCAAAAAATATGAGCAACTATGAATAACCACGTATTTTAATTGATAACAATATACTTAGTATTTATTTGAATTGCTATATTTTTGTAATACCTAGAAAAGGAGTAGCAATTATTTAATCTCTCAATGTACAACGGAATAAGCTTTTTATAATATTAGTTATTTTAAATGAGTTATTTTCATGCCCAGTTATTTTTTGGTCAGATAAGAAAACCAATTTCCTTTTGAATATATTATGGGGGATGAACAGGTAGATGATGATGATGAAGAGAAAGACTTTAATGAACCTTTAAAATGGATGTACTCACTTAAACATAAAAAATATTATTAACGATGTTAAGAGAGCAGCCAAAGATATTGAATATCCTATTACGAAGAGGTGATTGATGAAGCTTCTGAACTGGAATAAAAATTACAATTTATTATAATCCCAGTTTTCCACATCCCTTATGTAAGAGTGTAGCTATACCAGGGTCGTACACTTAATTTTTCCAAGGCGTGGTTATATAAAAAAGTTGCAGAATATGGCTTTTATTTTATAAATCACATCAAAATAATAGTATAATANGTATAGAATAACAATAACAAAAACTAACTCAAACATCAATATTGGTTACTTTTCAAGTTTATCTAACGCCAATCAAACTTATAGAATAGTTTAATTTCTTACTACCAGTCTTACAGATCACGATTCTGAACTTATTTGCTCTCATCAGCACATCATCGACTGACTAAATTGTTTAATAGCATAATACAGGCAGTATAGCGCCATCTAGTGACATATCATATTTCCTTGGACATTTTGTTTAATATAAACAAAGCTGTGTATACTTATTCATTTTATATAACCAAGAACTTCATTAAATTCTTGAAATTTCCAGATTAATTTGCCACAAAGTGCCATAATAAGGCTTTTTTATTTTTATGCGTGATTTTATCCTGCTGGGCAATTTCCTTTTACGTCTTTGAAAATCCTTCTTGCAAGAAATAATTTTGGTTCTAATTTTCTCTCGTAAAATCCTAGAATTAATGTCATAATTTTTTTATTACGAAGAATAATGAAGAAGCAGGAATAAACATCTGCTCACGTAAAAGGTAACGTTTTTTTGTAGAAATATGAATAGCTCCAGTAAGGCGAAGTTGGCGTCATGAAATAGTAATTTTTTTAACGACTTTGTAATTAATGTGTAACAGCTTAAATGCCCTTTCCAGCGAATAGAAAATTGCTGTATCTTTCAGCATTAAAAAAATTGCATTAAAACAGTAAAAATAGTTTGACCCATCGAAGCCTAATACCCTTTTTCGATTTAATTAGATAATTAGAGAGAATCAGAGCGGTCTAAATTAATTATTATCTAACTAAAGAAACTGTTAGGTTAGGTTATGGTTAGTTCAGGTTGTCTTGATTTGAAATTTAATCTTATACAATTAATTTATTGTTCAATTTACTACATTCTCTTTATTCGGTACAACAACATTAATTTCTGCGAGCGAAGCCGCGGGAAAAAGGTAGTTTTAAAATAAAATCCAAGGCCTTTTTATGAATTTTTGTGAAAATTATGCTTTGAAAACTTTATAAACAATAAAAGGAGTAATATTGAAAAATTTGCTAATTAAAATCTGCAATTAAACGATTCAACGAATTGTGTTCAAAATGTGTTTTAATTTTTGCAATTTTAATTGGTTACTTACACAAATTGACAATTATGCATGATCAACCACGTCAAATTTTAATTCAAAAAACATTTCTGTTGTGCAAGATTACAGTTGATTTACAATTCTAATTGAACAATACGAGGGTGGATTGATAAGTTTCCGGCCTGACCAAGAAAAACAAGGTTTTTAAAAATTTTTTTTTTTTATTTCTCAACATAATCTCCTCCAAGGCTGATACATTTCTCATAGCGGTGTTCCAGTCTATTAATGCCATCTCTATAGACTGATTCGTCAAGCTCCTCAAAATAACCATTTACAGCTTCGATTACTTCTTCATTGTCCGCAAATCTCTNTACCTCAAATTTTAGAATTGAATATTCAAAACTGGGGCGCTTTCCTACTTTATTCAAAACTACTGTGTGATGGTATTCAACCTATTTATTTATCTTTTTTTATTTAAAAAAGATTCGCAACTCAAAAATTCTTATGAACCGTTGTCAATAGGAAGCTTTAAGCAATTGAATAGTATTTATTATTGCAGATTTTAATGATGTTTGATATTTATTTAGTTCAGTTTACAAACCCCTCAAACGTTACATAACACTGATGTTAGTTCTCCAACTGAAGGTTGATTCTCTCTATACATTCCGTTTCAATTACTTACTTTATTCCGTAAACGTTCCATACAATTTGACAATATTCACATTTGAACGGTACGTTTCCTACACGTAGATAATGTAAAGGCGATTCGAACTAGGTACATGGTCCGAAGAAAATTTAATATTAACAATAAAATGCATTCTAATGGAAAATGAGGAAAAGGCAGACAGGTGGAAAGAATATCTACTTTAGAAAACCTATACGCAGGTCATGAGTTAGGAGAAATATTAGAGAAGAAAAATAGGTGAACTAGGGGACACATGCAGAAATTTTAAAACACACAAATATAAAGATAGGAAAGGAACGATTGGAAGAAGTGACTGAAGGAATAGTAGTGGTATAAATCAGAGGATAGTGCAGGGTCGAGTCACCTTCAAGTCACTTCTATGCTCGCGAACGATTACTTTAGAAATTCGAAAAAGATTGTTAAAGGTGTATGTTTGGAGCGCAGCGCTGTATGGGTGCGAAACATGGACGGTGATTGCAACGGAAAGAAATGGTTAGAAGCGTTCGAAGTGTGGTGTTACTGGAGAATAATGAGGATACCGTGGATAGAGAAGGTCAGAAATGAAGAGGTATTAGAAAGATTAGGAGAATAGAGGACTCTAAGGAAGTCAATAAAAATTAGATAGTATAGATTAGTAGGACACCTTCTCAGACATGAAGGTCTAGTCAGAGACATATTAGAGGCAGAAACGGAAGTTAAGAGGAGTAGAGGTAGACTTATATTAAATTATTGTTCGCAAATAGTTAAGGATGTGGGATGTTCTAGTTTTACGGAAATGTGAAGATTAGGTCGGGGTAGGAAGGAGTCGAGTGTCGAATCAATCTTAGGACTGATGACCTTAGATGATGATGATGAATAAAATGCAGAAGCGTCTTTGAATTCATCATAATAAGTACACTGAAGGAATGAGATATCGATTAGTGGAGTTATTATACACATGTTACAAAGCTGACGTGCATGATCTTGTGGTTAGTGTCTAATCTTATTATGCCTAATTCTGTCGGATTTTCCATTAAATCTGATTTTTCTCGGAGGCGGTTGAAATCGCTGAAGAAAATTAATAATGTTGATAAATAAACAGGAACTACATCATTGTCCCACCAATGTTCTGCAAGGTAACAAATTATTACCAATGTATCAACAACAGCTATTGGAATTTTTAGACTAATACGGATATGGAATGGAAATGGAATGTATATTGATAATCGGTTTGGTGTGGGACGTTGGTGAGGGTTAAAATTAGACGTACTTATGAATACCTACTAGTCACAAGATTGTGTACATTACGTTGATGTTCTAAATATGTGTTAAAAATCATCGAAAGTACAATAATCTAGTAAATAGTCCCGACCAGGATCATCAAGATAAAACTAAAGTTTCTAATTTTCAACGGTTAAACATATGCTTTACGTAGAATGACAATCACAGTTCTTCTTTATCGAGATTGAAATTTTTATTTTTGTGTCTCTCGGGAATAGAAATTTTTTTCTGTGTAGAAGGTATCCTATGTAATTTTCTGTAGCCCTGGTAATGCGTGTACAAAATTTCATGACGATCGGTTCAGTAGTTAAGGCGTGAAAGGGTAGTAAACAAATAAACTCACAATCGCATTTATATTATATTATTTAGAATGTAATAAATCAATAAAACCATTTTTCAATATTGCTTTCTTTCCATTCCTTTTTTTTTTGCAAATTCTCGTCTTCACGGAAAGCCTCAATTCCGTCCCGGACAGCATATCAATGTAAATTCCGTCTCGGCGATTTTTATTACTATACGCAAATTCCGTCCGATATGTACCGGCACTTAATGAGTGCGATAAAAGTAATGCGGCGATTTGAAAACCTTGCAAACGCTATCGTAGATAATATTTTAAAGTCTCTGCTATAGCAAAAAATTAAATTAGTTGGTATCATTCGAAATATACGAATAAGAAAACTGCCCTTATTTCTGGAGGAAAAGCTACCTCATCAGATATATAATTTTATAGTATATAATCACAAATAACATTTCCTTGTCCATTTTCTGGAAGAAGTATCATTAAATAGTCAGTGGAAACATGAACGACATCGTTAGGTCTAAGAATCAAAAGCCAAAAAAAAAACTTTTTCTATACCGGGCTTGGCCTAGATGAAAACAACAACCTGTCATCCTTGATTTAATCAAAACAAGTTGCATTACAGTATGAATTGCGTTTTCGATATCCATAAAAATGTTTCATGATTCATTTGAATCATTTAATATAGATCTTTGAAATTTTATCAGGAAGTAATAAAAATACGAGAGGTAGGTACATATGAATCTTGTTGCAATGCATGAAAAGTAATTATGTAGTAAAAATATTTGGGATGGCTTCTAAATGTAGCATCCACTTATACATTGGTCGCACAATAAAGTATACTTCATTTACTTTCTGTAGCGATGTGCGCTTTCCAATGTCTTGGAAGAGCGCTGGCAAAATCGTAGGTAGGGAGAAAAAAGCTCATTATACTCTCGACTCTTGTTCATTAAACATACTTTTTCATACAGTACCTGCCAAAAGTTTTGTTCAATCATGAATAGTAGTGCGAGTTGAAAACAAGCGTTACAGCCTTTAATATTTCTTCAAATATAAATAAACATCTCGTTGATATTTTCAGTAATAAATGGTACCAATAACAGCACGTTTGAGCAATGCAATTGTAGAGGATAAAACGGTCAATTTTTCCGTGCAGTACTGTGCGGATTATACGCTCCTCACCGGTTCAGAGTTTGGCCGAGAGCTGTCTCCTTCCTTTTTTGGCCTAGTGCTGTTCTTTTCTACCTTGCGCCGGTCAAACTGAAGGTCACATCGCTACAGAAAGTAAACGAAGATAATATATATTTTACGAAATTTACGTAAGGAAATAAAAATACCTCGGGCGGAATTTACATACATCTAGAAGATCATTAGTAAATTTCGAACGGTACACCAACCCCGCCCTCTTTCAGAATAACAGTAGCATATAAATACTTGCAATCAGTTTCACATTACCTGTTTCTGCTTATATAGAAAGAAAGTAATACTTTTTTTTTGTTTTTGAATAATTATATCATCGTATTATACGGAATAGATATGGAATGGAAACGGAATGTGTAGTCACAATCGACCTTTAGTTGTGTAATTTAAATAAATGAAATTTCATCATTGTCAAAGAGACATTGTTGCTCTTCTTGACTGGAATACCGCGAATAAAGAAGTTAAGAAGTGTGATTATAGGCTGGGAGACGGACGGATTTGGGAATCGTTTTTGAGAGTTCCGTTAAGTGTGATAGACATGTTGATTGCACTTTGTCGACCGTTTACAGAGCTTTCGGGTTCCTGGAGAGGAGTTACAAGGACTTCTCGAACGTTAACACATTGATTTATTTGTATAAAACTCTTGTTCTCCCAACTCTTCTCTATTCACAGATTTGCAGACCTTACACTCAACAGTCAATATACGAAATTGATAAGTAACAGACAAATTTCTTAGACTTTTATCGTCAAGGTTTGGTGCCCCATTTGGATCATGATTATTTCCCTATATACAGTCGCATTTTCATTGACATTATTCAGTTGCATTTGTATAGTGATTATTGTCTAGTGTAGCGGTTCTCAATTTTTTTTGCTATGGAACCCTTTTTGATTCAATCTTTTTTGGTAGAACCTCTTCTCGACAATAATGTAAACTGATATCTAAAAGTTTTATGTGTAAGACTCTTAACACATCATTGTGTACATGTTATAATCTTCGAATTGAATTTTGAATTCAAAATCTAGATTACACGTATTTAATATGTGCATTTTTACTTATAGTAGCATTAAAATTAGGTTTAATGTCCGACAATTGAATTCGAAAACCCAGAGTGGTATCCTCTGGTTTTGCATTTTTTTTTTAATGTAGACGTAAACTGGAAATGTCTTCTGTAAACTATAAATCGATACAAACCGAAACAGGAACCGTGATAACCTTCTGAACAACTGTAGGGTATTCATCCCTAAGTTCGATTCAAAGGAGAATCGCTTATCTAGTGTACAGAATTTTGTCGAGTGATGTGAAATGTGTAACGGTTGAGGCTGCGTTTCAAATTACAGAAAGCAATTATTTAACCAGAAACTAAAGAACCATATTAGAAACTAATATAAAAAAGCTTTCTTTAATGTTTAGTAGAAGTCTTGAGCGATTTTTAAAAACCGCCTCTTGTAATCAAGTTATTAATTAAAAAAGTTTCTTAATACAGCAAAAACAATCTACTTTTTACAATTATAGTCTGGAAGAATGGACATAAATAGCTTTAATTGTTTTACTTTTAACCTTTTTTTATTACTCGCTAATGTACTGAAACATTTAAGATTCTTTTGGTTCTTTCGCTAAAATATCTTTCACATGTGCATACTCACCTCGAGATCTTCATTATTTACACACGTAGTATAGTTCGACCAATCCTTTTTAGAAATAGGATGAATATACCACGATCCATTCGTCCAACATTCCCTAAACGCAAATCGTTTTGTGTCGTATCCGTATATTCGTGGACAAGATTGATTGGCGGTTGCACCCGCGGGAGTTAAAGGCCAACACAGTAGGCTGTCCCATTTAGGTGGACAGTACAAGCTCTCGTTTCTTGGCAATTCTAAAAAATAGTATCGAATATATCTGACGCAAGTGACCATGTTGAAAGCAATGCCAGAAGTGATGTCGCTTGTTTTCACATTTTACAAATGATCGTCGTAAATTAATACCTACAACTGGTAAAAAAAAAAAACTTTTGGGTGTTTAATTCTCATCAGCAACTACTATGGTGGGCAGGCAGTCCTTCCAGACTAAACCAGAAGATATGGCGGAAGGCCTACTTTCAAGAATCGTAGGAATAGGTGGGTGGTGGTTCGGGCGAGAAAGATGAGAGGGACAAAATGAAGACAGAGGAGAATGAATGATTATCTGTGCAATATTATTGTCCCAGCATTAGCGTATGTGATCCAAGGAAACTACAGAAAAACTTGAACCAAGGCAAACGTATCCGGAATGGAACCGGCGTCCTCCCGAATGCTAAGCAATGGTCTAAAATTCTAGACAATGCCGCTCAGTATAGTGGGTAAAAGCTCCCACGTACTGTTAATAAATAAATACATACACAGGCAGTGGGAAATTTAGCTCGTCATAACGACAGGCAGAAGAATTCATCAGGGTCAAAATGTAAATTCGGCCGCTCCGTTCAACTCTATAGAGTTAAATCGTCGGAAAGGACGTTAAACACCTCGATTAGTATGCCCATCTTCTCCCCTCTCCGTAAGGGCATTCATTTCTTTTGTGCAAAAAACTTATTTTTGGGTTTATTCATTTAGCTATGAGTTGAGGTTAGTTGTTTTACTTACTTTCTTCCATCTCCCAGCATGAGTTTCTGCCTCAAACATACACATGTATAGTCACGTGTGAGTAGTCTACTATACGCGCAAAGCGTCAAGAGACCTATGGTGGTTTGCCTAGATTGTGTTGGTATCAAGAATGTGCACTCTGGAACCATTCTAGAATAACGAGGTCAGCTCCTATAAATAGTTGCCCCAAGGTCGAAAGAAACAATTCTAGTTCTTGTTCTAGTAAGAAAGAGCAATGAAAGCAACCCAGAACAGGCCTCCTGACATTTATTCCTGTATGGTGGGTTGACACATACTAATCGAGACATTTATTAAACAGATTTTCAATTTTACAGTGAAGATTTTTAGTAAATGCGAAGTAATAATCAAGTTTTATTGAATTTTTTTATNCTATCCAAGGATGGTACTATAGAATGTCACCTCAAGGTAGGCCTAGTGGCGTCATCTCTTGGTTAGGCCGGAAACTTATCAATCCACCCTCGTATGTCACGAAATGATTAGTAGCACATACGCTTTACTGGCACGTTTTGCGGTTAGTTATCCAATAAGTAGCTTAATATAAACAAAATCGGAATATAATAAAGAAAAGCTGGCTTATTCTAGTAAACATCTAATATAATTATATATTCTTGTTATCATCATGGTAAAATCAATAAGGAAACGACGATTTTTGGTGACAATAACAACAGTCTGTGGTGTATAGAATAACAATAACAAAAACTAACTCAAACATCAATATTGGTTACTTTTCAAGTTTATCTAACGCCAATCAAACTTATAGAATAGTTTAATTTCTTACTACCAGTCTTACAGATCACGATTCTGAACTTATTTGCTCTCATCAGCACATCATCGACTGACTAAATTGTTTAATAGCATAATACAGGCAGTATAGCGCCATCTAGTGACATATCATATTTCCTTGGACATTTTGTTTAATATAAACAAAGCTGTGTATACTTATTCATTTTATATAACCAAGAACTTCATTAAATTCTTGAAATTTCCAGATTAATTTGCCACAAAGTGCCATAATAAGGCTTTTTTATTTTTATGCGTGATTTTATCCTGCTGGGCAATTTCCTTTTACGTCTTTGAAAATCCTTCTTGCAAGAAATAATTTTGGTTCTAATTTTCTCTCGTAAAATCCTAGAATTAATGTCATAATTTTTTTATTACGAAGAATAATGAAGAAGCAGGAATAAACATCTGCTCACGTAAAAGGTAACGTTTTTTTGTAGAAATATGAATAGCTCCAGTAAGGCGAAGTTGGCGTCATGAAATAGTAATTTTTTTAACGACTTTGTAATTAATGTGTAACAGCTTAAATGCCCTTTCCAGCGAATAGAAAATTGCTGTATCTTTCAGCATTAAAAAAATTGCATTAAAACAGTAAAAATAGTTTGACCCATCGAAGCCTAATACCCTTTTTCGATTTAATTAGATAATTAGAGAGAATCAGAGCGGTCTAAATTAATTATTATCTAACTAAAGAAACTGTTAGGTTAGGTTATGGTTAGTTCAGGTTGTCTTGATTTGAAATTTAATCTTATACAATTAATTTATTGTTCAATTTACTACATTCTCTTTATTCGGTACACTTCGATAGGACAAATTAATCGGTATATCAAGAAAGATTATCTTAAGAATAAAAAATCTTTTTATTTCTTCTTTTATTAATATTATTCCAAAAAAAAAAAAACATTTAATAACTTATTTTCTCTACAAGATTCAGTTAGGGCATTTTATATTCGAAAAGGGCCTTTAAAGGGCAATTTTTAAGTCACCACATCTTAATTAAAAATTTAATCAAAAAAAGAAAGTAACGTTACGCTAACTTCCCTTTACTAATGCGAATTCCAGTTAAAGTTACCTTAAAGATGAATTCGTACATTACCTTAAGGGAGAATTAAATCTATTTAGTACCTAACATCCTTCCCGTTTAAAATTCAAACAAACAACAAATTAGTTTATCCCTACTTTAAACCGACACATTACATAGGGAATGCCTATACAAAATTGTCCCTGGAATTTTACCTGAACAGTACTTCTAAAGCAACTTTTAAATTAGCTTTCCGAAATAACGTTCCAAAGAAAAGTTTACCATTTCAATGCCTAGCATACTTATGCAGTATACAATAATTTACGAATCGTTTTGTAGCCTTTGTTTGCAAATAATTGATGTGTTATACCAAACTTTCTGTTATTTCTGTTTAATGGAAAATGCAGCGTAGATCAATAAATAACATAAAAACCGTAATGTTTCAGATACGTTTACTTTGGCATTTGATAATATTGGAAAATGTAAATAGCTAGAGATAAGAAGCTTCTTAAATTAGATGGCACGTAGCCAATTCTGAGGTATAACAGTCTGCTCGAATCAGCAACTAAATACAGATTTACAAAATAAACTAATTTAGGTAGGTATACCTTAGAAACCTTAATAATATTAGTACACAACAAACTTAATAACAGAGTTTGATAGGTTATAAAATACCTTCACTGATTTAAAATACTTAATCTGATCAGTAGAGTTCTTGACCATGCGTATTTATTTCATACCTCAAATTTTAGAATTGAATATTCAAAACTGGGGCGCTTTCCTACTTTATTCAAAACTACTGTGTGATGGTATTCAACCTATTTATTTATCTTTTTTTATTTAAAAAAGATTCGCAACTCAAAAATTCTTATGAACCGTTGTCAATAGGAAGCTTTAAGCAATTGAATAGTATTTATTATTGCAGATTTTAATGATGTTTGATATTTATTTAGTTCAGTTTACAAACCCCTCAAACGTTACATAACACTGATGTTAGTTCTCCAACTGAAGGTTGATTCTCTCTATACATTCCGTTTCAATTACTTACTTTATTCCGTAAACGTTCCATACAATTTGACAATATTCACATTTGAACGGTACGTTTCCTACACGTAGATAATGTAAAGGCGATTCGAACTAGGTACATGGTCCGAAGAAAATTTAATATTAACAATAAAATGCATTCTAATGGAAAATGAGGAAAAGGCAGACAGGTGGAAAGAATATCTACTTTAGAAAACCTATACGCAGGTCATGAGTTAGGAGAAATATTAGAGAAGAAAAATAGGTGAACTAGGGGACACATGCAGAAATTTTAAAACACACAAATATAAAGATAGGAAAGGAACGATTGGAAGAAGTGACTGAAGGAATAGTAGTGGTATAAATCAGAGGATAGTGCAGGGTCGAGTCACCTTCAAGTCACTTCTATGCTCGCGAACGATTACTTTAGAAATTCGAAAAAGATTGTTAAAGGTGTATGTTTGGAGCGCAGCGCTGTATGGGTGCGAAACATGGACGGTGATTGCAACGGAAAGAAATGGTTAGAAGCGTTCGAAGTGTGGTGTTACTGGAGAATAATGAGGATACCGTGGATAGAGAAGGTCAGAAATGAAGAGGTATTAGAAAGATTAGGAGAATAGAGGACTCTAAGGAAGTCAATAAAAATTAGATAGTATAGATTAGTAGGACACCTTCTCAGACATGAAGGTCTAGTCAGAGACATATTAGAGGCAGAAACGGAAGTTAAGAGGAGTAGAGGTAGACTTATATTAAATTATTGTTCGCAAATAGTTAAGGATGTGGGATGTTCTAGTTTTACGGAAATGTGAAGATTAGGTCGGGGTAGGAAGGAGTCGAGTGTCGAATCAATCTTAGGACTGATGACCTTAGATGATGATGATGAATAAAATGCAGAAGCGTCTTTGAATTCATCATAATAAGTACACTGAAGGAATGAGATATCGATTAGTGGAGTTATTATACACATGTTACAAAGCTGACGTGCATGATCTTGTGGTTAGTGTCTAATCTTATTATGCCTAATTCTGTCGGATTTTCCATTAAATCTGATTTTTCTCGGAGGCGGTTGAAATCGCTGAAGAAAATTAATAATGTTGATAAATAAACAGGAACTACATCATTGTCCCACCAATGTTCTGCAAGGTAACAAATTATTACCAATGTATCAACAACAGCTATTGGAATTTTTAGACTAATACGGATATGGAATGGAAATGGAATGTATATTGATAATCGGTTTGGTGTGGGACGTTGGTGAGGGTTAAAATTAGACGTACTTATGAATACCTACTAGTCACAAGATTGTGTACATTACGTTGATGTTCTAAATATGTGTTAAAAATCATCGAAAGTACAATAATCTAGTAAATAGTCCCGACCAGGATCATCAAGATAAAACTAAAGTTTCTAATT